TTAATTTCCAAGTCTTCATATAGTGTCCTGAGTTTCACATGTTATTAATTTTTAGTTTTAATCCATTATGGTCTAAAAAGATGCTTGGGATGATTCTGACTTATTTATTTCTGTTGAGACTTGATTTGTAACCTAACTTGTGGCCTGTCCTGGAGAATGTTCCACGTGCTGATGAGAACAATGTATATTCTGTAGTTGCTAGATGAAGTGTTCTGTAGATATCTACCAGGTCCAATTGTTCTAAAAGGGTAGTTTAAATCCTGTCTTTTTCTGTCAATATGTTTTCCGGATGATCTTTCCAGTGGAGAGAGGTGTTCAGGAACCCCACTATTATTGTATGGGCTTTTATCTCTTTCTTTACATCTGATAGTGTTTGCTTTGTGTATTTGGATGCTCTGGTGTTGGGTGCATATGTATTTATGATTGTTACATCTTCTTGCTAGATAGATCCCTTTATCATTATATAATGGCTTTCTTTGTCTCTTTTTCTTGTTTTTGGTTTAAAGTTTATTTTATTTGAAATAAGAATATCTATTTCTGCTCTTTTTCCAGGCTCCTCTGTTGACCACTCTCCTTGTGTCACTGCAGTTGTATATGGGACAGGCAACCTGCAAGGTGGTCATGGCTGCTACTGTAGTGACTAGCCATCCTTGCAGTGGTAGAAGCTGTGGTGGTGGCTGTTATGGATGGACTACATCTTCAGAACTGGTGCTGGGCCCCTTGATTGTGGTGTGCAGATGGCACTGTGTCCTGCCTTGTTTGCAGGTGGTAGGTGGGCTTCCCAAGGTTTTTTCCCTGACTTTGTATCCCTGATTGAGGTGGTCAGGCAGGTGCTGGGACCAGCCTTGTGGGAAAGGGTGGGTGGGATTCCCAAAGTCTTTTTCACTGCCTGAGCATCCCTGGTTGGGAAGGGAGGGTGGCACTCTGGGTCCTGCCTTGTGGGCAGGTAGTGAGTGGGTTTTCTGAGAAATATTTTAAATGACAAATGGCCTGGAGTCTTCATAAAGGTTAAGGTTCTGAAAGGAAATGAACAAAGGAAAGGGAACTCTTCTTGAAGACAGTAGACTAAAGAGACAAGACCAAATTATATGCTTGTTCCTTGAGTGGATAATGAGTTGCAAAAGAAAAACAAAGCTCTAAAGAATTTTCTGGAAAAATTGGGATAATTTAAGTATTAGCTCTATGTTGGATAATTTTACTCTGTTAATGATACCTCCTGAGTGTTCATGCTATTATTATCATGTAGGACAAAATACTTGTTCTTGGGACATACATATTGAAGTACTGAGGTGTAGTTAGGTAGATATAAAAGTAGATATACACACACATATGTATGTATATGTTTTACTTTTGTTTAAATTTAAAATGTCTTACAACAAGCAAATGGAGGGGACACACTTGGGTGGGAGAGGGGAGAGGGAGGAGAGAGGGAGGTTTCGGTGATGGGACATAATAAACAACTACATTGTATATTGACAAAATAAAAATAATAAAAAAAAATAAAAAAAATAAATTTAAAATGTCTTTAAATATAAAGGTGGGAAGAAACCCAATCCTCTAAGTTTATCATATAAAAGCCCTATCATTTTGTTTTAAAATTAATCCCTTTAATGTTTTTAAACAAGCAATACATGAAAATGTTTCTTTGAAACAGAAAAGTATATGTATACATATTTTAACAAATGTCACTCAAAAAATTGGTATTTCATAAGGAAGAAAATGAAGCATGACCATTACTCCATACAACAAATAAATATCAACTTGAAATATATCATTGATCTAAATATGAGAGCTAAAACAATGAAATTTGTAGAAACATAAAAGTAAGTATCTGGGACCTTGTGCTGTCATATTTTCTTCAGATAGGACACAAATGCACAAATACAACTCCCATCACTGCACACACTTCTACTGGACAGAAATGTCTTATACCCAATATTCACAAATGACATGCACAAATCCATCCTGCCACCTGCTTTTGTATAGGCCATAATGTCAGAATGTTTAAATTGAAAAAATGCCTAACAGGAATAATATTTCTGACCTGTGAAAATTATGTGAAATTTAAATTTCAGGCTCCATGGAAATTGGAAGATAGCATTATCATTTATTTACACATTGTCTATGGCTATTTCCATGTTATAAAATATCTAAAATACACTATCTGGCACGTTAGAGAAAAGTCTTGTCATCTCCTGTCTGAGACCATTATCTCCACCTAGATCAGTGGCTCCAGCCCATGGTAGAAGAAATCATTTATCTGATTTCTAAGAGGGTAGATTCAGTCATGCAGTGTTGCATGTTTCTGTACTGGGCTGTCCCATGCAGAAGGGAGGTTAAGGGTCATTTCCTAGAGGCTAAGGTATTCTAGGCTCAAAAGCCACCAGACACTGCAGGAACCACCATGTAAAGGGGTGAGTGGGTGACTTCAGCAGGTGCAATGCTCCCCTCAAGTAGCTCACAAAGCTGATGCAGTGGATGTGAGAGAGTGGCAATCCCTGCCTGATTCCTCAGCTTGTTTCCCATCTAGTTACTAATAGGGAGAAAGACAACTTTCATTAATATTACCTCAGACTCTAATGTTAAAGGACAAAAGTCTTCTCCTAGTTGTGTCCATTGGTGAAAACAGAGTGCAATGAAGTCTTAACCCTTGTAGCAAATCTGTGATTATCAAGGCAAGTCCCATTACCTCTAGGTAGAACCATGAATTCTGTCTTATCCACAGGATGACATTAGTAGCTGCAACCTTACCAGTTTCACTACTTTTTTCCCCACGAAAACATAATGCTTGGTTACATAATTTTTAATTTTAGTAATAATATGCTTTAGCTTCAAGTGGTATAGAGAAGCTTATAGATAGCAAATAGAGCATCTGGATAAACACAGAAACCATACATTAGAAGGCATTGTAAAGCTTCAAAGACAAAAATGAGTTTCAAGATTCCAGAGATGGGAGAACCTGAGAGAGGTAAGCTAATAGCTGCAGTTAATTTCTATTTATTATTTATTTTGTTTTTTGTGCCTGGCTGGTTCAGGAATCTGAACCCATGTCTTTGGTGTTATAACACCACGCTCTAACCAACTGAGCTAACTGGCCAGCCCCTGCAGTTAATTTTTGACTGTGTTCACCTCATGTCCAATTCAGAACCAGGGTAGGAAGTGTTACATCACTATGAATGCCTGTAGGAGAGAAATGAAGTCATTCTGGAAGAAGAGACATCATCGGAAACTCTGAATTTTCTCATATGTAATACCTGTATTTCTCCAAAAGTTACTATGCATTTCAAAGATACAACTAAGTGTCCACAAGCAGAATACTGTGGGGAAGAGAAGGCAATAAAAAGAGACCATGTTAGAGAACATATCTCTCTTAATATTATGAGGTCAGTACTATCTTCGTACCAGAAATCTGACAAGAAAATCTTGATGAAGAAAAATCACAGACCAAAATCTCTTATAAATATAAATAGAGAAGTCTTCAACCATATGAAGCAAATCAAATAGAGCTGTATGTGTCTACTTATGTATATTTATTAAGGAAAGTGAGGTCAATATGTACAATCATACCAACAGAAGCAAGGAATTGATTTAATAAAATTGGACACACTTGCAGACCAAAAATTCATATTAGAATAAGACAGGAGGACAAATTTTCCTAATCTGGTAAGGCATATCTCTCAAAATGCACTTAAAATATAATAATCCATAGTCAGATGTTAAACCTCCACCCCTATCCTGCTTCTGTTTCAGAAATGAAACATGGATGCACACTATGACAAACTTCATTCAACATCACCCTGGAAATCTTAGCCAGTGCAATAATGCAGAAAGGAAAAATTAAGGACAATAGAAGCGGTAGATAAGAAACAAAGCAAATATCAATTCAGATAGCAGGATAATGTACATAGAAATTTCTGATGAATCTACGAATATCTAGCAATGATTAGTAAATTTACAATGCTTGCTAAATATAAGTTAATAAATGGAAAAGGCATTATCTAAATTTATAGCAAAAAATATTATCTCAGAAAAACCTAAGAAAAGATTTGCAAGCCACTGCACGGAAAACACATTATTAAGAAAATAAAAGAAAGCTCAAATAAATTGGGAGCTTAACTGTAAGGTCCTCCAATTCCTGCTGCTTTCTTTCTGTATCCTGACCTAAAATCACAGAGTACCTCAACTCTCTGTGGCCCAGCCAGCAGCAGATCCCTGCCAGCAGGCTTGAAACAAAACTGGGGCCTTAAACATTCCCAGGTACTGATAGGAATATCTAGGTTGTTACCCAAACCGCTAAAAGAAACTGGTCCCACCCGTTGGCCAAATTCCTTAAACCCTCATGTAAACTCCATTTCTTGGCTTCCTTGCTGCTGACATACCTGAGTAGAACATCTCTTTTCTCTTGCTGCCTGTCGTGAGGATATGCTTCAGGACTCTGTAAGTAAGTTCCTCCAATAAATGCGTTGGACTGATAACCCTGGCATTTAGTGCTTCCTTCTTTGGAATCCCAACCAGCCCCATCTTGGGCTGGTTTGGGGCACTCCCTTGTGGGAATTCGTGTGCCATCACTTTTGCAGTGATTCCAGCCACAAGTTAAGTAGAATAAAATAATAACCATATCTATCCTAACTGGAAGCATAATCACATTTATGAACTTAAAAATTCAACATGTCGTGGTGTCAATTATTTTCAAATTGATCTAGAGATTTAATGTTACCCTGATAACAAACTGACAATTTTAACATTTATTTGGAAATGTAAACACCTAAGAATGGCCAAAACATTATTAAACAACTAGAACAAATTTGGAAGACTTACCAGGTACCAAGACCTTTTATGATGCTTTACAACCCCAAACTGTAAACAGCATAAAGTCCATTAAGCTGCCATGCATATGAATTGGCTCTTCTCTCATATTGTGTGGGTAGAGGTCTGGAACCACACTGTGAATTTGGAAATTTCAAGAGCACTGAGTTGGAATACAGGAGAAACAAGCTTACCTTGGGGATGAGGTAGTTTCTGAATTTAATGTCACAGGTCACTGCATGGGGTGCGTTGGTGGGGACGAGGTCAATGTATCTCTGGATCTCATGCACCACAGCATCTGTGTAGGGCATGTGGCTCCTGTCCTGCATGCAGGGACTCCGGTGTTTGCCAACCATACGTTCAATCTCTTTCTGGACTTTAGCTGATAAGACACAAGGAAGAACTGATGCAAAAGGACAAAAATGGCACTTTTGTAGTAGTAATTCAAGGATACATAAAGCATTACGAAGGTATCCTAACAGCATTATACACATAAATTATATGAACAGAAGTACTCCTAAACTTAGAGATTCAATCTCTTTCTGGACTTTAGCTGATAAGACACAAGGAAGAACTGATGCAAAAGGAGAAAAATGGCACTTTTGTAGTAGTAATTCAAGGATACATAAAGCATTACAAAGGTATCCTAACAGCATTATACACATAAATTATATGAACAGAAGTACTCCTAAACTTAGAGAAACTATTTCTATAACACAAATGCATATATTTGTGCCATAAGCTAAGCATAAAGATTAATCTGTACATACATATATAACAGCATATATGATAAGTAATGTCAATAGAAATTATGAAAATTTTGCAAATATAAAGTTAGCATACAATTAGGTAAAAAAAATACTCTCTTGCTGAAAGAGAAACAGGAATCATATTAATTTCATATCAAAATGATTTATGGTGATTAAAAATTAAATTCTGCTAGTGAATCTATGTGTATGTATGTGTTTGTGTGTTTTGTGTGTTGGTGTGTGTGCACTTTGCAATGGTACTCTTTATGTTCCCGCTTCCCAAATGTGGCCACTTTGAGCACTCTAGTAGCTTCTGAATAATACATTCATATTTCTGAATCAAGACCATCTGTTTCTATTTTCTATTTTTTACTTGTCCATTTTTAGAGAATATGTGAAGATTTCCTGATATAACAGATAAAAACTTGAATCTCGGGGAGGGAGCAAGATGGCGACGGGTCTGGAGCGAGTGTGCCAGAGGACAGAGCGAGCCTGAGAAGTCTGCGCTGTGCTGCCAGAGTACTATTTGCATTTCCAAGAGCAACAAAAAACAAATAAATCACNGTATGTGGGTTGATTTCTGGGATCTCTATTCTGTTCCATTAGTCCAAGAGTCTATTTTTATCCTGGTACCATGCTGTTTTGGTTACTACTGCTTTGTAGTATAATTTGAAGTCAGGTAGCTTTATGTCTCCAGCTTCTTTTTTTATTTTTGGAAGGTTTAGGATTGCTTTGGCTGTTTGGGGTCTTTTGTTTTCCATATGGATGATTTTTCTCTTTCTGTGAAGAATGTGATTGGTATTTTGGGGGGATT